GGAGGAGGACGAGGAGGAGGAAGAGGATAAGGAGGAGGAAAATTGGGAGGAGGAGGGGGAGGAGATGAAAGGGAAAGGGGTGGGAGTAAGAGCGTGAGGAACGCTGGCCCACCGCCCTCAAGCCCGCGCCCTAGGAGTTTAGCAAGGACGACCCAGTGGTCCTGTGCCCCTGCCGGCCCGCTGCGTGGGATCCTCCCCCCCACACTATGACTGCTTGCCCGGATATCCCATCTTGACCACCATTGGTTCTGCAGGGAGCCCCCTCAGGCGTGCGCCTTGCCGCCGATTTGGTTACAGCGCCCTCGAGCCATCCCGGTGCGCTTGTCGCGGACGGTGCTTGAACGGGTCACGTAGATTCTGCGGTAGTCTGGGGTTGCGCACCTCCCTCGTGACACGCGAGCCTCTGCTTCCTTGAAATTCCCGCTATGCGTTCCACAGTCGTTGTGGGGACTTCGCGACTCCGCCGATCCCCCGCGAGGCCACGAGCGCGTCGTGGTCGACCCTCTGGACCCCCCGACCCGTGCTGGAGACAATGATGTGTTGTGCCTGGTGCTGGATCGGCCAGGGGCCGCACACCCTCCAGAGTGAGAGCTCCCAAGGCCTCTTGTCTGGCGGCGCATTTCGAATGCAAAATTGTGTCGCCAAAGTCTGGGGGCTGCCAGGCCGTCGGTTGTCTGTTCCCCCTCCTCTGCCTCCTCCCTTTTTGTTCCCACTTCTTATCTGGGTGCAGTCGTGGATTCGTAGCCCCTTGGGTGGCTCAGTGGAGCCAGCGTTCTTGGCGACTTGGCCTCTCAGCGTTTAGAAGTGCCCGCAGTTCTGCTCCACGGTGCAATATTGCTGTCCGCTCCCTTTCTCTCCGTCTGAAAGGAATTAGGGCTCACAGTTCTGCGCGTGCCCTGGCTTCCACATGACAGAGTATGATTCGCGCTGGACAGCTCACTGCGCAACCAGGACCAATTAATGGCATAACTGATTAGCCACCCGGTTGGTATGGAGCCCGATCGCTTCGCGTATCTGTGTCCACGATAATTACAAATTTGTCGAGATGCCGCGAACCATCATAATCAGTCACAGTGAAGTTGTTCCTCCATTTTGTCGTCGACACACCCACAGACGAGCCGATGCTAGGAGGACGGCGGTGAACAAAATAAAAACACATGCGGGAATACATCTGATCGCCGAGCCTCGACCGTACCACGGAAGCTTAAGTACGCCATAGAGAAGATGTTTGTCCGCAGAGATTTGGGCAGATCAGAGCGCGCCTTGCTAGAGCATTTTAGTGTCTACGCGATATTCAGTGCGGCCGAATCCAGGGACCGTACGAAGGCACCATCGAACAGGGATCCGCGGCTCCCCCGATTGTCAGGGGACGACCAAGGCGATCGACGCCGAGGACAGCGTATTCCTGGCAAAGGTTGAGCCCGTCGTGTCCTTTGGATGTCAAGCTTTTTCAGCGGCAGCTTCGGACCGGAAGGGTACAACGAATGCAATGAGGACGAGCGCGAGGACGAGAGTCCTCGGGCACCACGTCAAGGAAATGCATCCACTCCCGGGCGCCTGCGACGGACTCGTGCGCCAGGACGCCTTGAAGTGGGAAAGTTACCTTGCGTGGTTTCCGTCCCTAGCAGCCGTGATACGAACGCTGTTCTTGAAACGGATAGCCAGTGGCTAACTATGCCACTTGCGAACAGGTGCGCCACTGCTTACACGGGATGCAATTGAGCGCGGCTTTTGCAAACCAAAGCGCCCAGCAGGAGCAGGGCAGGTAAAAGAAGGTGAACCCCAGGCCCAAAGTATTAGTTCATAGCCACGCCACAAGCATGTCCAGGTGCGCTCGATGCGGCAAGTTCGGGGACTGGAATCGCGGTTGCATTGGCGAGCCATGCGGTTGCCAGGCAAGAATCAAACACAGGACGAAGGGCGCTCTTACCACAGCAATGTCCCCGAGACAGCGCCCGGGCAGACCAGGACACCTCCATGTTAAGACTTGGATGGTGGCCACGGCGGCTGCGATTTCCGAAGGTGTGTCGATCGCCGTCGTGTTTACTCGACACAACGATTGCACTAATCATGTGGATCAATCAATCAAATGAAGCACGTTACCGTTGATCAAGAAGTGAGAGCAGGCTGCATCATTTTCTGGCGCTCCGGCGCCCCCGCCGTCGCCTTCAAGGCGTGCGGCCGCGTGTCGTGGCACGCGGGCGCGGACGTCGGCGTCGGCGTCCGACGTACTCTAGAATTGGAGGCAACGTGAGTTCGTGGACCGACCAAGTCAATCTCTAGCTGGGCGTTCTGGTTGGCAAAGCCAGGGCGACTAGCGATCCCCATGCGAGTGTCACGGAATGGGGCGTTCTGGCGTTGGATACATTGTGCAGTTGATCCCGTTGCAGGGTCTGTCTTTGTTCAGAGTTGCAGGAGGTATACCAGTATGTTGTGCGCTTGCGAGTTGTAGAAGGCGAAGTTTCTGCACACATTATGTTTTGCGTCGGGGTCTGCCATGAATCGCACGTTGGGCTCAGTGAGGTTGGGGTGGGTGGGGTGGGTTTCCTGGTCCGTTTCGCCGCGTCTGGATTCGGTTGCTGGTTGGCGGCGTGCCCGAATCTCTCTCCCCACCACGTTCCACCCCCCCTCCCCCCCATATGTTCCCCTGTCCCCCTCCACTCTCCCCCCTACCCTCCCCTCCTCTTCCCTCCCCCTGCCCCCCCCATTCCGTCCCTCTTCCCCTCCCCCACTTTCCCCCCTCCGCTGACCAGTTGGTTTCTAAGCCTTGAGCCCAGGGCGAAGGATTACATAGATCCTCACTTTCCTGAAACACCAACTTTACAGCACGCAGTTCTAAGAGAGGCAATCGGGGACCTGTACAAATCTTTACTCTGCGTCTCATTGTCTCTGCTTCCAAGATCTAGACTTGTGCGGAGCATGGAGCGGCCCTGGCCTCAGGCGAAAATATAGTAGTGGAAGACGCAGTTCTCCACAGAGGTGTCCTCGCCCAGGGCGACGCGGAATACTCGCTGTCGTTCATGATGGCCATGCGGATGTCGTACCCGCGGTACGTGTAGTAGGTAATGCTTGTATCATCTTCACCATCCTATCCGTTATCCGTTCCCCTCTTGTGGTTGTGCATGGTTCCGTCTCGTAGGTTGTGTTCCGTATATCATGGTTTGATCGCGCTAGCCTTCTCACGGGATCGCCACACCAAGACAATAGTTTTGTTCTCTGGCGAGTAGTTCTTGATCAGATCTGCTGGTCCTCTCCATCCAGGATCATTTTTCGTATCGGGTTCTCGCCACAAGTCAAGTTTGGCTGCATCCACAAGCTTCGCTGCATCTTCTGGCGTTCGCTGTTGAACTCGAGTGTCGTGGGCCTTGGCAATCCTGTCCTCGATGATCGAGGCATTAATGGCGTCCTCGGCGGCCATGCGAAGCCGAGGCGAGGTCCCAACGTCGTCGGGAACGCTCTCCAGGATGCCAAGGTGCGCCGTTAGACCATGAAATGCTGCTGCAATATTTCTTGACCGGTATCTCCATCGTGTCTTCCTCAAGGTGTTCATGTCCAAACTGACTTATCGGTAGGAGACAATGACCACTACCCGTGAAATATATTCAGACAGAATGTGCGTTGGCAATTTTGCGACCAACCCCCAATGTTAAGACCAAGACGCCATCGCGATGCTCAAGGATGTCGCAGAACAGTGCTGTTTCGTCCTCCAGCAGGCATGGACACTTGGAGCCGTTTCCTCCCATACAGTCTGCCTTGAACGTGATGTCGTTGATTCCAGCTTCTCCGAGAGGCATCGTCGCCGCTGCGAGCCCTGGATCCGCATTGCCACCGATGCCCGAGAGAGTGCTGTTGGTAGGTGCCATAGTGTGCTCGAGGCCCGCGTCCTTTAGGTAGTTGCGAACGTAGTCCTTCATCGTATCAGTGCCTGTGAGGCCAGCGGCGGCTCCAGGATCCACGATAACGCCTGTCACCTGACGGCCACGGACCACATGCATCTGACCATAGGTGTCGCTATCGTTGGTCATGAAGATCGTCCGCTTCATCAGAGCAGAGCCGAATCCATCCTCCATGGGATTGCTGCCGTTGTATGTGTCTTGCTGCTCAGCTGGAGGTCGGAAACGTTTGTCCTCATTTATATAGTCCAGACGTGAATTCTTGCCCGTCATGTCGAACATGTTTGAAGACTTTATCATTGTCGTGTCCGTGTCCAGCGATCTTGGCAACAATCCAGACAACGCACCAACAAACCCAAACGAGTGAGAATTTCCGTTGTGTTGAGATGTTTCGGGAGTGGGTAATTGCAACGAGGGGAACCCTGATGAAACGACAGGCGGCTCCAGCTCGTGCTCGGTGATGATGCCTGTCTTGGGCATGGCATCCTCTGTGCCCCAAGAAAAGAAGCAGATAAGCGGGGGACCCTGAACCATATATCCAAATTCTGATGCGTCGAAGTCGTAGTCATGGTAGTCGTCATCGTAAGATTCTCCATAGAAGCGCCTGCGTTGATTTCCTTGACTTGGTCGAGTATTGCTTGCGCCTCGGCCTTTCGAAGATGAACGATGCTTGCCACGACCTTGACGACGTTTGTTGCCATCGTTTCTTTATTTTTTTTTTTTTTCAAAATGAGAAACCGAGGAGCCACGGCGCTGGACGATTCAGTGGACAATCTGAACTCCGATCGAACTCGGAGCCACACATAGTACATCCATCGTCTGTTCCACCGCTGCTGTTGCCTTTCTTGCTTGTCTTGCCTTTGCCGTAGTAGTCGCCCTGAGATATAGGTGCAATCTCTGTCATGCCAGATGTTGCTGGAATATGCTGTGACCAATCTTCTTGAGACCATTCGGTATCATCATTCCACCAGTCGCCTTCGCAGTGAGTGCCGTAGTCGTCATAAGACTACCAGCCATCAGCATACCAGTTGTCATCATACCAGTGAACTTCGCCAGTGCTGTTTGACCATCTCTGGAAAGCTCGAGACTTGATTCGTCTCAGCATGG